CATATTTTCTTAACTGGTTGTTTGCTCTCACAATTAAAGATGTCCGGCACTAGCCAAATACAGGCGGCTCTTTCACGAGAACTTAAAACCTTGTCACTTGCAACAAAATATGAAAAGTTTGAGGAATATCTCGATAAACTTGGAACCTTGCCACTTGTCGAAAAAGAAACAAAATTCAAAGAGTATTTAGAAAAACTCGATCAAATTTTTGAAGACACATCAAATATACACTCTATTCATTCTATTCGTGATGACTACAGTCAGACGCAATACCAGGCGAAAGAAAACCTCGTGAAAGCTATCCTGAAACGTACTGCTTTATTTGCAGAGCAATACCAACTTGAGCACATCTTTATACAGCACATGAATTTTGTATCTAACGTCATTAACATTGGATCCGGCATCGATGGCAAACCACTTAAACAGGTTACTTGCGCAAATATCCGCATTGCTAATGGCTTCATTTGTAAGAACGTCGGTAATAAGATTTGTGGTAACTGTCGTGTTATCTTTTACTGCAGTAAAGAATGTCAGAAGATGCATTGGGCGTCTCATAAAATCAATTGTAAATCTGATATCGCGTCAAAGGATTGGCGACCAGACTACATTGATGAAATACGAACACCAGCATTCTATTCGAATAGCCATCTTTACGTTTCTTTTTCTGCCGGACCACCAGAACATTTGTGGGGAAATATGCCGGCGGTTGACATCGTGAAAATAGCTTTCAATGAACTTGCGGACGGCAAATCAAGTTCCGACTATAAGGAACCCATTAACCTGCTCTTTGCAGCGAGCGGAGATCTCAATGACATCATTGCATCTGTGAATGGATTGCCACTCGATTTCAATCAGCCAGTTAATATTTGCATTAACGATCGGGCCGAAAGGGTTGCAACTCGAAATTTTATAATGTTGTATCTCCTTGCAAAACTTGGCAAGGATGCTATTGATGCCGTCATTCAGATTTGGTATTCGGCAGCGCTTACTAGTGAACAATGGATTAAATCTGTCGAACTATTGAGTACCATCATACAAGAGGATCAATCTAAGAAAGTTTGCACATTTGAGTTCGATAAACTCAGCATTTGTACACATTTCAATCCTCAGACATGGGCGTGTCTTGCGGCGATGCTTATAAGTCAGATTGATCTGCAAACGGCCATTGATACACGTAATCAGGTTATGATGAATCCAATGCGCAAAGACTACCGACATCGATATATGCAGAGTCTCACGCCAGGAGAACGTATTTGTTTTTATGATTTCTGTCACAATGGAATACTTCTCCCGTATGGTGCTCTGAATGCCTATCATAATGTACCAAACAAATTCATCTTGGATCCAATACGAGGCTGGACAATGAAGGATAGTTCAAACCCTCTCTTTGGATGGGATGAGCTCAGAGTCGCCCAGGTTAAGCATGGAACGGCCAACGAGGACTTTTATGGAAAGCTCTTCTTTTATCTCCGTGAACAAATGGAAGCGCTTGTCGATCGATTGCAAAAATTTACGATCAAATTTGATTTCTATGTCGATGATGCACTCAAGCTTGGCCAAGAATTTAAAGACAGAAAGTTTGATCGTATTTATACGTCCAATATTAGTGACGAAAATTATGTTGGCATTAACCACGTATTAACTGAACTCCGTCCGCTTCTGAACGACAATAATCCGCATGCAACGTTAATTACACTATTCATGAACTGGTTACCTTCTATTCCGGAACCTCACAATAAGAGAATAATGGAAGATATCGTCAAGAAAAGTATAAATAAATATGATCGTCCTTCGTCAACACTGCAAGCCGCTAACTTGGCTTCTAAAATGACAGCTAAAGCTTGCACTGAAGCTGCAGCCTTGTATGATCATACCCGCGAATTTGAAAAATATATGAAAAAGTTGGATGCAAACAAAACCGCGGAAAAAGTGGGATTACGTCGTCGAATGTTTCATAAAATCGTGCCCAAGAGAATTGGTGCCAGTATGAAACATGATGAACAGAACAAAGTCTTATCATTTGAAGATGAGAGGGAGAGACATTTGTTGCTTGATGTTGGATCGCACACATTTTTAGAACGCTACGTCGAGTGGGAGGTTATAGCTTAACTTTTAGCATATTGTTTTGTTTATTTTGCAAAATGAACCATGTACTGTATATGAAGAATTCTACGAAAAATCAATAAATTAAAACACGCACATGACTGATACGCATAATGATTATTTCAAACCCAAAAATGGAATCGAATGCACATGTACAAGTCGATATGAATGAATGCTCACTTCATAATATTTCTACGAATACTGCTTGGGATATACATGTATAACGTTAAACTGTCTAGCAAAGATAAAGATATCGGACAATCTGATAAACGAAAGTAACGAAATTAAAAAAAGATAGAATTAAAGAATATAAATTATTCGATTTGATCCCTTCTGGAAAAAGTTACTAATGTTGAATATCTTGTAAAAGGAGTGTTGGGACAATTTATAAATCTGTTACATATGGATACTCAATTAGTGATGATTTATAAAAGCTGGAGATTTCGTAAATATATATACTACCGTATTCTTCTGAATTTAAGCATCATCCAGTTTAAATCAAACTTCAATTCCTTTTATCATAATTTGTTATCTCTCGAATTTAAGCATCACCTTCAAATTCCACCAGAATTAGGTTCAAAAAAGTGATACTAATCGGAAGAATACGTTATTAATTCCAACTACGAAAAATTGACTCGAAATGAAAAATTAATTACTCTTTTAACATTAATATCCAGAAGTACTAAATGGAAAGAACACACTAAAGCTACAGATCGTTTTAGGATAGTTAAGTATGTCATGATAAATATCTCGCGTTAAACATTAATAAAGGAGCTACAAAACCAAATAATATTTAGAAACAAACCAATTGCTGAGGAGCTTGAAAACTTTATTTGGTCTATCAAACTTGGAATTACTCATAACTTTGTATTCCAGTGCTGCAATTCCTGAAAAAAAGAAGAAATTAATCGGTTTTTAAATTAGGATTGAAAGAATGTGATCTTTAATGATGAGATTGCAAAAAAAGCATTCCTACAAATATAAACAAGAAAAAATGATGGATCTTTATCGTTATGCAAATAGACAGAATATGCAAATTCATGTTCTCACATGTTTCTTGATACCAATCACATGATTAGATTACTTAATTTTATGCATTCTATATTATTCTTATTATCTCTATCATTTTATAATGAAAAATACTACATTAAACAATTAATAATGCTATCAAATCTGTTTAAAAAAGCAAAATAATTAAAGAATAATGCAAAAAAGAATTAATAAAGTAATGTGAATAAGAACTTGATATAAAAGTTAATCAAGTAATAATTTTTAAAATATTAAAGTACTTATCTGAATATTTATATAATGAAATTAACTTTACTACAAAATTCATTATAAAAAAATTACATAATGTAAAATATCTTGAACTTGAACTTGTATTTCAAGAATGATAATTGTATTTTCAAGATAATATTTCTCTTACAGATATTATCATAATTGAAAATACTAAATTATTTCTGATAATATATTAATATCTTCTTTTGAATAATTTTAAAGCTTTAAAATAAATATATAATTTATATTTATTTATTTATTTATTAAAAATTTTCTATAACAAATTGATATATTATAAAAATAATTTGAAAAGATATTAATTATATAAAGAGAATAAATTAGCTAATATTAATATAAATAAAAATGAATTTTCTGATCTAAAAGTAATTATTAGTTTTTATAAATCGGAATATATATATAGTATAAATAAAATAAATTATTTTTTTTAGATAAATATAATATTATAATAATATTTAATATATTATTAATAAAGTTTTAATAAATATATAAACTTGAATTTGATATAATTCTAATAATAAAATAATTCAAGAAAAAAAAGAACAATAAATATTTAATTATTATATTTTATTATAATACTAATAAGAGTAATAAACTTCTATCTTTTGTTATTAAAAAGTTTTTAAGTACTTAATATATAAAAAATATTAATAAAATAAACTTAAAGTTATTTATAAAGCAAATATTAAAGTATAAATAATTATAATTCTATTTTTAAAAAGAAGTAAATTATATTTATAATTTAAAATTATAAATTTATTTTTATAAACAGATTAAGATTATTTGATTAAAAATAAATAAGAAAAAAATATTATTATTTAATAATATATTTTATTATATATTTGAATAGATAAAATTAAAAATTATATAAATTAAATTTTTATTATCAAATTTAATATCAAGAATTTTGTAATATTATATTTTTCAAGAAATACAGTGGCAATCAAAAGTAATGACTCAGGGGCTAAATTTACTAATAAAACATAGTGAAAATTGAAATTTTCTCTCTATA